TTCTGATTTTTTCTTGCCCATCTTGAGGTTTTTTTCCTGGGTTTTTGTGGGGTTTTTTTGTTGCCCATCTAGAGTTTTTTCGGGGTTTTTTCCTGGGTTCTTCTTGCCCATCTTGGGGTTTTTTTGGGTCTTTTCTCGCCTATCTTGGGGTAGTTTTCTGGTTTTTTACCCGACCAGGACCAAGAAAAAAAAAACAGCGGGGGTGGGGGGGGAAGGCAGCTGGGGATTTTTTATTCTAAATTTAACAATGAGTTGCAAAACCTGAAAAGCAAAAGTCATAGACACACGGTTAAATCCAGTCAGCATGTGTTTACACATGCAGAGACGAGCAGACACAGACACAGCCACGTGCTCTCACACACGCTCACACATTCTTTCTACTTAACACGCTCGCTGCGTGAGACGCTGAAGAACATGCTTTGACACATCTTCTGGCTGCCGCTCCTTGACATAAATGGCAGATCCTGGGGAAGTCAGCAGCGTCGGGGACCTGTGAGATGACAGGAAGGGTCAACGAGTGGCTATCTGACAGCTGGGACTTGTCCCCAATCTGGACTGATAGGTTTTCTACCCAAAATCCCATAGAAGACAGTTGAACAGTAAAATTTCTATAACTGTTCTACCTAACTGTGACTACATACCAGGGCAGGGCAGCTCCACCATAAGTGGTACAATGTAAGTACACACAATATAAGCTGATGCATACAGTGCAAGTATACACAGGCGCAAATACGCATAATATAGGGCGACGCGCTTACATACAGTGTAAGTACACACAGTACAAGCCACCATAGGTACATACAATGTGAGTACATACAACATAGGTCAATATAGGTACATACAATACAAGCCAGGACTGGAGATAACTCTCTGGAAGATGAATTCTTGAGCCCTATACCCTTTGAGAAGTTGGAATCTATAGAACTACTGCAGTCACGTGAGAAGTCCAAGAAAATGGAAAAAAGGCACTACCAAAGCTGGTAGTGAGAAGGAAGATGGATGAGAACATCTTGTCCTTGTGAGACATTCCTGTCTCAAAGAGTAAAAATGTAAAGATGCCGGAATAAGGGATATCCGGAAAGGAATGTGAGTAGAACACGGCCTATATGGCACAGAAAAGTGCCAATAAAGCATCGAGACGTAACAAAGGCCTATGACGTGGAAGACAATGGACACACGCTACATACCACAGACACGGACGACATAACATAGACACAGATAACATAACAGAGACAAATGGCAACTGCCTGGAACTTTCCCCTTAGTTACCTGAGATTCCTAGCACAAGATGAGCCAGAGGCTGATGATGCCAAAGCAAAGGAAGCCCTATGACAATAGCATGTGATGATGAAATATAACTCGTTAAAAGAAGTTAGTGCCAAAGCAGTTAAGAGGATGCTCGAGAGGGAAGGAGCAAGCCTAGAGAAGGAAGCAGACTGCCAGGTGACCGTGGCTATAGCTCCAGACCTGAAGGCGAGCTCCTCGGGGTAAAGATCCATGACGGTGTCGAGTCGAGGAAGGCTGACGACGCAAAGTTCACGTGAATGTGGAGATGGGTCGGAAATGCCCTGCCTGGCAAAGGCTCTGGTGAGGCCGAGGAGAAACCCTCTCCCTTTACTTCCAGAGAGCCTGTCCCACTACAGACCTCTCCACTAAGCTGACATCAGATTGCCTCCTGTGACAGTAAAGGTTTTTCCCCTTCTCCAAACCACTGGCCCCAAGGCTCAGCTTTTGGAAGAGGAGAGGACAAAATCCATCCTCGGCTGGATGTGGACGTTGAGATGTGCTCCATGTGTGCTTCGGTGCTGCCATTTCCAAGCTTTGGCTACAAGCCTCCTCAGGGGACCTAAGACAAAACAGAACATGTGACTATTGCTCTCAAAAACAGTAATCCCCAGGAGTCCTCCACACCACTGCCCCAGCTCACCTCAAATCTTGATTTGACTCCAGAAGCCGCCCAGAAGACAACTGCAAAGAGAAAAAGTACACTCTTAGCATGCTGCTGCATAACGTTCACATATGAGTCAGCCTGCCTAAACGCCAACTTGCCTGCCTTCCTGGGCATGCCTAGGACAGCACCTGCAAAGAAACAAAGCAGAAAAGCATGCTGAGATACTGTGAAAACACAACATCCCTACCCTGACAAGTATGCCACACCGATACATTAAGCTTGCACCCATCTAGCATGGGTGTGCTCAGCTAGGATAGACTGCAGGTGGAACACCTAAAATAAAAAAAACAAGAGGAGATGCTTGGAGCTGCACCAGAAACTGAGACTTCAGCAATAACAACTGCTTCTGTACCCTACTCAATGCTCACCTTGCCTACTCGGTCTTGACTGCTGCTCTCGCCCTTGACTTCCTAAAAAGAGAGGCAAAGAACAGTGCTGCAACAGCCACCATTTATGCTTCCTCTACAGCGACAAACAGTGACTGACCTGCTCGGGGAACCTCCTCACCTGGGATGGGGTACTCTGCCCTGGATTTTATCCTTCTGCATCTGAAAGAAAGTTAGGACAAGAGTCAAAGGGCTGCAGGATAACTTAAGGGCTCCAGATATCTTGTGTCCATCTACAAATCCCATCTAGAGTCCACCTACACCTCACAATACAAACTTCAGGTCCCCAGGATTTCCCCTATTGCACTAGGCTATGCGGCAGGGCAGAGCAGCTCCGGCACAAATGTGTGCTGACACCCGTGACACAGGACAGACAGGATGTGACAAACAAAGGGCACAAGACACGGACAGAAATCTCTTGGCAAGGAAAATGGCTACGAGGACAGAGAGAATGCAAAAGGAGATGACCGAGGCGAGACCGATGGTGAGATGATGAGGCTCAGAGAACCCTGGAGGAAGAAGATGCTAAACTGAATGATTTATACCAAAAACAGCAAAGATGGATGCCCAGGAATCCTACAGTCAGAAGCCTGTACCTAACCTCATATTACTACAAGTCCTAATCCACCACAATGGATCCAGGTGGGGCATAGCTGTCCGTACAGCTCAGAACAAGACCTGAAAAGACATCTGACAGGATGCTTCCAAAGAGAGAACTTTTGACTGGGGAGCTCAGACAGGTATCAGAATCGCATCAATGCTCTGGGTGCCAGGCCAAGGAATGCAGAGATCACAGATGCTAAGAATGGTGCCAGGGTTTCTGACAGGCTCCTCAAAGGCCTAAGGTAAAAGACATGACATACACAAACAACACATAATGCAAAATAGACAAGGCACACGAGACACACCGGGACTGCTCCGCCCTGCGCACCTCAGCACTTCATCAAAAGTAAGACTTTGCTTTTATGGGGCCTAAGGGGCCACTTCATGAACACCCCCCACCTCCAAAGCGGACTCAAAAACCTCTCCCAGTAATTACCAAACCAGCACCCTGCTTTCATCCCCTCTGTGGGTCTTAGCGCTCTACTTATCTCTCAGATATCAGGGAGTGCTGCTCCATATCAGGTGCAAAGAACAGCCACCTCGTCAGCAGGGAAGATCCTGCTGGCACCGCGCTGGTGTCTCTCAGACAGCTGTATAAAAGAAAACCAAACATCAGTGCCTGATCTTGGCACCACATCACCCAAAACCCCACCAGTCTGCTACTCACCAGGCTTCTAAGAAGGCCCAGCACCTCCTAACCCTGACCCTCTGCCATGGATGCAATGCATCTGCACCTGAAAGAAAGTTAGAACATATATCAAACACCACCAGGATAACTCACAACATGCAAACAACTTGTCAATCTTGGAATAGCATCTAGAGCCAATGTACACCCAAATTACAAATGTCAACTCCCCAGGCTTGTCCTATTGCAGCAGGCTATGCGGCAGGGCAGAGCAGCTCCGGCACAAATATGAGCAGACACCCGTGACACAGAACGTGACAAAGGGGGACATTAAACACGACACATCATGCTTGTGGTGAGAGCATTGAGGGGAAAAGGCAAAAGGGACCCCAAAGACACACTAGGTAACACGGCACACCGGACAACACGACACAGGCCAGAGCTGTTCTGCACTGCCTGCCTGAAAGCTGCCATCAAAAGTAGAGCCTCTCCCTCTCACTGTCCTAAGAGGCCCTTGGGGAAGATTGCTTTTCCCTCTGCTAATTTTTACATCTGCCCCAAGATCTCCCAACCCACCACTCTCCCATCTCCAGGCCGTGGCCCCCAACTTATCTTTTGGATGATGGGTGATGTGGATTCATGTCGCGCCTGAAATGAATCTGCCTCGGAGAGCCCTGTGATGGCCTGTTAGGCTCTCGGTCAGCTACAACAAAGAAAACCAAAAGCAAAGTATGAGCTCAGAGTTATATGGGCCAAATCCCAGCAAGTCAGCTACTTGCCCTCTCCTGAGTGTGC